AAATAGACTGAGCAGAGACTCCCACCAGGCCTTTTCTTCATTGCATTTGTTCCTTTCATTGTTAAACAATATGGAGTCTCCAGTGTGCTGGGCGTGTATCCTGGTAGTACCAGTGGGTAGAGGAGGCTTTGCTGCTGGGTACCTCGTTCACTGTTGTCTGTGGTTTCTCCCTTGTACCCACGTGTGCCAGACCCCAGAAGGCAGGGCTGAGTCGTAGAAGGGTACGGTATTGACATTTCAGCATGTGGCAGGCAGCAGATGCCCAGTGACAGTGGGCTGAATTTGGAGGTCAGTGCGAGGATTTTAAAGGTTTTTCTTTTCACACTGTCAGATGAGGTAACCATCTTCCTTTTTTCTAAAATGGGATAATGTATGCGATGTATCAAGGCAAGTCATTATCCTCCATCCATTTCTTTTCCTGTCCTGTATTACCCTATTTCTGTTCTCACTGTTCCTTTGAGACTACCATACCAATTTCTCCTGCTCCGACTCTCCCTTTTTTCCTTACTTGCTCAGAGGCCACAGACAGCAAGAATATATATATATATATTTATATCTGTCTGGTTTCGTATTTCTTTGTCCCTCTCGCTTCTTAATATGTATTTAAAATGCCATTGTCTCCCTCTGTACACATCTCTCTTGATATGTGTATGTCTGTTGGGACTGTCGGGGAGAATTTGGCTCCATGCCTCACAGGAACACCCCCTCTGTGTGTGCGTATGTGACATCTCGTGCTGCCGTATGTATGCTCCTCCTGAATCTTAAGCATTTTTGATGGCAGGAAAAGTGTGTGTTCGCTTAGACTAAACCCATATTCAAACACCCACTACATTGTGTGGGCATAAGTGACTGATAAAGCAACAGAATTTTTACACCTGCGTAATCAACCTTCTGTGTAGACACCTGGTTGCCAATGCCGTAGAATCATACAGAGGTGAAGTTTTGGGGGAAGGATGTTGCAACTTGGGCTGGTGTAAGGGTACCAGATAAAAAGGCATCCCAAACAGAGCTGAGCTTCACTGCTTACACTTAAAATCTTTATTTTCCCTTGCCCTTTCAGCATTTAAAAAAATTGGCATGGGGAAATCTCAGGATACATAGCAGGCAGAGCATTCAAGTTACATATCTTGGCAGGATGTTTCTCCTTTTTATGCCCTCACCTTTTATTTTATGTATTTTATGTCCACTTTTATTAAAAAGAGTCCATGTCGTGCAGGTTTATTACATGAGTAAATTATGTGATGCTGAGGCTTGGGGTCCTGAGGAGACCATCACCCAGGCCGTAAGCACAGTACCTGCCTCCCTCTTTTGAAGAGAGCTTTTGTATAGGAAGCTCCGTTTCCTCTGGAAACCAGTAACATTAATATTTTTTTTGGCCCAAAGTTTTGTTTTTTAACCAAACTTAGATGAGAGGCATTTCCACAGGTAGGAAGGTCTTCCATGGACACAAACTAATAAAAATGTTTATAGAATTTTGGTCATTTGATAGAAACAAAATGAGGAGCCATCCTCTGAAACGGACCTGAGAGTCATTATGAGCTGTGGTGTGATGGAAAGTCTTGGTCAGGTTATTCCTGGTGCGGTTTGGAAGCAGCCCTGCCCCATGCTGGGAAGGCTGGGACTCCCGGTTCTGCCAGTCACAGATTTCTTCTGCCCAAGAACCTTGAACACTCTTGAACCAAGGCCTCTGGAAGCCCCTTGTCTCTTCAGACCCATCGCCGTGTAACTAAATATGGAGAGAAAATTTGTGTATCGGAACATGGAGTTGCAGAGGTGACTCTGCTGAATTAGCTGACAGACTACAAGTTTGAGGAAGAGTAAAAGCCCTGGCCAGGTGGGAGTCTCTGCTCAGTCTAGTTCTCCCTGAGCCCAGGAGTCAGGCCTGTTGGGCAGTGGGGAACATGCCTGTGTTTATTCAGTCACATGGCACTTAGTATCTGAAGATCCAGCAGGAAGACGGAACCTTCCCATAGGTTTCTCATGTGCTGGGTAGGGAAATGGACAGACATAAAGGAATAAGGCAGTTGCTCACTGCAGTAGGAGAGATGTGAGCAGGAGGCCAGGGAAGCCCAGAGGAGGGCGGGATTCCTAACAAAATCCTGACTGGGCACGGGAAGGAAGGATTAGGGACTGTTGGTTCACAGAGGTGTTGGCTTAGCTGAAGAAAGAGGAAGGGGCTTTAACTGGGCAGAGGAAGAGTGGTGGTCTGGAGGGACTGAGGAGAAGGGCATTCCAGGAAGAGGGAAGCCTGCAGGGAGCCTTGAAAGAAGTCAGTCCAACAGGCTTTGGCAGAAGTGAGGGGCGTTGTTTTGACAGTCTCCTAGCACAGCAACATGGGAGTCTGTGCCTGTTTCTGTAAATAATGTTTCGTTGGAACATAGCCTATCCATTCGTTCAGCTATTATCTGTGGCTGCTTTTTTGTGACAACAGCAGAGTTGAGTAGTTGAGACAGGGACCTTGTGGCTCACAGAGACTAAAATATTGTCTCTCTGGTTCTTCACAAAAAAGTTTGCTGATCCTTAACATTTTTGTTACTAAAGAGTTTTATTGAAACTCTTAATGAATGGACCCACACTGTCAGCACTGGGGCTTGGCTTGTAGGCCTCATGGGCCTGTTAGTTTATTTTCTCATTCAGTGAGTCCTCTTCACCCCACCCTCCCACACCACCATGTCAGTAGCCTCTAGTTGGCATTTATGTCTGTGGTGTAAAGGGGATGGCATTTTCCTGCCAACTGTCCCCTAAAACGTCTTTATTACCAGCTCCAGGCTCTCATAGACTGTGCCTAATTTTGTGGAACCTCTGCTGCTGCTCATTTGCTTGGCCAGAACCCCCAATCTTGCCAAGTAAATGTTGCCAAGCAAAATCAGAATTAAAAATAGTGATAGGAATAGTACTCATTGCGAAATACTATTCTTCGCTGAGGCATTCCATTTGTTAGGGCTTCTGGGAGCTGGCAGCTGGAAGGAGAGCCCTACCTCAAGTCTGCATCTATTTCAAAACCACAGAATGCGTTTCCAGAAGTGTCTGTGCATTTGAAATGCTGTTTTCCCAGATATAGCAAGTAAAAGTTGTGTGGAATTACATAGCAAGTGCCAACTTTTAAGCACCTGCTGTGGTCCATGGTCTCTGCCATTGGGTATGCCAGACCAGCCTCTTGATGCATGTTGACTTACTCAGTAAGAGCTGGGTAAAATAGAAGCAGAATCCTTCCCATTTTACAGATCATGCAAGAGGGACTCTGGCAAGCCAAGTACCTTCTGTTTTAACTACTATGTAACCCATGAGAAAGAGGGTGTTTATTTTTATGCTCTAATTATTTTTAGCAGGTAGAGAGCTTGTTGAAATATTTGAATCAAGAGGTCAAGAATTTTGGTGACAGACTATCAAAAGAACTGGTTTTCAAGTGGCAGGTACAATTCCCCTTAGCACTAACTTCTGTCTCAGCCTCAGCAGCCACTGAGTTATCATTTCAGTCTCCCTGTCAAATAATATTGCAGTTTGGAATCTAATTTCTGATTAGTGCTTTCCTTAGAAAACTATCAGATGAAAGTAATGATATTTTCCAGACATTTCTTGAAAATATAGTAGGTCTGAAAAGAGAAGTATATAGGTTTAGGGTTGTCCTGTTTTCCAACTAAAATTGTCATTCCTGCATAATAGTGTGATCATAATCTTCCCCTCCATAACATTGTTCCACCATGTTCTTAGGGTAAAGATCAGGGTCCTTATTGTGGCATTTGAAGCCTTTCCTGTTTGGACCCTGCCTGCATCTTCTGTCTGTCCTGAGTACCTCACACTTCTCTCTGTTTGGGACCACCTCAGTTCCTCGAGCAGCATCTTTGGATTGTCCCTTTGGCTGGCTCACTCCTATTTTGTCTTCGTATCTCGGCTAAGATATCACTGGATGCAAGAGGCTTTCTTGGACCTTTGGAGAGTGGGCTGAGTGTTCTTCCTTTCCCAGCCCTGCCATAATGCCTGTTACACTGTTGTTTCATTGTTCATTTATTTGTATGTTCTTCACCATTAGGTTGAAAGCTTCATTTAAATTTTTTCAATTGATATACATATTTATAGGGTACATAGTGATGTCATGTTGTGTTATGTAAACTGTATAGTGATCAGATCAGGGTAATTAGGATGTTCATCATCTTCAACGTTTCTCATTTCTTTGCAGCTAGATAGGAGGAATAAGTTCTGGTGTTCTGTAGCACTGTAGGATGACTATAGTTCACAATAATATATGGTTTTAAATAGCTAGGGGGAGTATATTAAATGTTTCTATCACAAAGAAATGACCCTTAGCTTCTCGATGACATTTCTTTTAGTTTTGACCCTGTAGCTACAAGGAATAGGAACTCATTCAAGCTAGCTAATAAAAAAGGAGTTTATTGTGAGGAAATCTTTAAAACAATAAGGAGACCTTCATGGAAATCTAAGAACTGGGTCTGTAAGAAGCTGTATCCTATGGAAGCAAAGTGGGAGTTCCTTAGGATGGTACAGATACGTCTCATGGCTCTCTGTGCACCAGCTCTATTCACATCTCTCTGGCCTGCTGGCTTTCTCAGTTCATGCAATTGTCTTCATGAGGTCTGTTCATGGCCTCAGCTTGCCCATATAGCCTAGAATGGCCCTACCAGTGCTGGAGGACCCTCCTAATCACATGACTTTATTTCCTGCTCCGTGCTTGTTTGGTTTCTTAGCTTCCCAATTGCAAATTTCTAAGCAAGTGCTCCGGTTGGCCTGGCTCACTTTTTTAAGCCAGGCCACACATGTTGTCATAGGTCTCTGGCCAGCCTGTAGGTGGGCTGTCCTCAGGTCAGTCATCACTGTGGGCCAATCAGATACGTTGGAGCTGGAGGGTCTCCATGCATCAGAACATGGGTGCCAATAGATACCTTTCTTTTTTGGTTTCTCTCCCTGCCTCTTGGCTTATGAGAATGTTAGTCTTGTGTTTTATAGACCTCATTGTATCTTTTGTTGTTTTTCATTCTTCACAGATATCATTAACGGAGCTCAAGAAAAATGTGTATTGCCTCCTATGGACGGCTACCCCCACTGTGAGGGGAAGATCAAGGTAAGACAGAGGCGAACAGGGTCATTTTCATCATCCCGAATGTGCACAAACACCCCTTCTTTTTCCCTCCCCGTCCTTTTCCTCCTCAGTGATACAAGTGGGTGAGTGAGCCCTTGACATGGATCAGTGACGGGGTGCCTCCATCCTGCCGACATTGGCTGTGGCTATGACAACTCTGCTCTGCCAATGTCAACCCTGTGGGGTTGGTCAGCAGCGTCTCTCAGGGGTCAGCTTGAGAGAGCCTGGGCCATTTCAGGCACCTGCTGAGTCTCTGAAGCTGACCTCCCCTCTTTCTTTCCCAGCTTCCAGCAGGTGATCCTTCAAGGACCAATGACAAGGAACTGCTGTTATTTAGTGTCCAACTCCCTGCCCTCTCAGTCCCCAGGCTCCTGCTCTGAAACCTCCAGATTGTGGTTTAAGTGTCACATTTGTATTTGGGGTTGACTACCAAGAGACACTTGGCTGCTCTTTAACTTGGCTGCATTTTTTTCAAAAAGCCTACTTGTATGGCCTGCCCCCAGGGAGACCCTTCCCTGCTCAGTAGTTTTCAGAGAAAAGTGTCCATTCAGGGATGTAGTTAGGACAGTGGGATCAGCCCCAGAAGCATTTGGGTGGTATCTATGTGGGCCATCTGTCAGTGCTCACGAGTGTCCTCGTTCACACACTGTTTTGGGTACCGTGCTGTGGGCTGATGGAACTGGAGTTCCTGGAGAGGGTGTAGATGTCAGAGTCCCATTAGGCACTTGATCTTGATAAAAATCCCTAAGCCACCACCTCTCCTGGGCTTTATTGCTTGCTGTATCACAACCTTGTTCTCCACTGTAAGCACTTCTGCTGAGGCCTGACAAGCCAGTGTCTCCCTGCTAATCATCCAAGGAAGTGAGCTGCACGCATGACTGTCTTGGCCTTCACTCAGTTCTTTAGGCCACAGCTTGAGCCATTCATTCAGTCTTCACTATTCTTATCCGTCCCTTCCCTGTCAGCAGATGTAGAGGGCCTGTGAATGGGCTGCTCAGAGATGTTCTTCTTGTTTCAGTGGATGAAAGACATGTGGCGTTCAGATCCCTGCTACGCAGACTATGGAGTGGATGGGTCCACCTGCTCTTTTTTTATTTACCTCAGTGAGGTGAGTAGCTTTCCGTGGCTCCTGGCAGTAGATGTGGTTGGTTGGACTGTTTTGTAGCTGAGTCTGAAATTTGAAAAGCTTAAAAACGTGGTCTTTTTATATGGAGGACCTATGGTTCTGTCCTTCATCACTCTCCCCACCTCCCCAGGAAGGGTGGGTTTTTTTCCCCTTGAGGGAAAAATAAGCGGAGTTAGTTAGCTATTTACTTTTTTTCCTATTTTTTTTAATTGTAGTAAAATAGACATAACATGAGATTTGCCATCTTAACCATTTCCAAATGTATAGTTCAGTGGCATTAAGTATATTCACGTCACCACTGTCCCTCTCTAGAATTTCTTTTATCTTGCAAAACTGAACCTCCATACTCGTTAAACACAAACTCCACATTAAGACCCTGCTTTCTGTAATTTTGGAAGTATACCCAAAAGTGAAATTGCTAGATCATTTGGTAATTGTTATTTTTAATTTTTTGAGGAACTACCATACTGTTTTGTACAGCAGCTGCCCCATTTTATACCAACGGTGCACAAGGGTTTTAATATCTTCATATTCTCACCAACACTTGTTACTTTCTGGTTTTTTTAAATAATGCAGATTATTTAGGGAAAGAAGGATCATTCAGCTTGGGTAGGTATAAAGAGAGTCAATATCAGGGAATCTCCTGGGTTTGTCAAGAAGAGATGCCATATGAGCTGAATCTTGGGAAAAAAAAAATTAGAAGTAAGTTAGGTAAATGAAAAACGGAAATGTATTCAAGGCAGAGAAACAATAGAGGGAAAGTTATGGTATCACTTCCACAGTGGCAGTGACGGGACAATGGAGGGGCACCATTTGGGAGCTATGGGGCCACTATTTGGGAGCTATGGAATACTCTACCAAAACCAGGGAATGGGGATAGACCTTCTGGTTGCTGATTGGCTTTATCTTCAGGGCCTCTATGCCGTCAACATACATGCTGTCGTGGAATTCAGTGTAGCTGAAGCTCCTGCTCTCTGTGTAGCTGTTTTTGGAATTCTCCCAGTGACACTTGAATATGCTGGGGGATTCTGGGCCCATACAAATGCATGTGTGTAGTAGTCATTCCAGTTGTCATTAGCACATATAGGCTCAGTTTTGTACCCTGAGATTTAGATGAACATGTGAGAGCTCATCTTTTTGTCGCATGAGGACATCATATCTGTACTGTTGGACTTGGGTAGTGCTGTTTTATGAATTCCCTGCAGTAGATGTCCTTCCTGTGTACGAGCAGCCTGCATAGGATCAAAGCAGGGCCAAGATTGGGCTCCAGAACTTTAGAGAGTTTGCCATCTCAGTCACCAGGGCCACCCTATTCAGATTCAGTGTTTGGGTCATGGCTCGTAGTAACAATCAGAGTGTGGATCTGAAGAGCAGAGTCTGTGTCTTCCTCCTCCTTTAAAAGCCCAGGAAGCATTTAATGGTTTACTGTAGCAGAAACAACTCAGAAACAGCCAGAGGGAAAAGATGAGTAAGTATAGATATGGGAGGGAAGTAACTAAAGTTAGTTACTTTTATCTTGTTTTTTTCCCTAAATCTGAGCCTCATTTTCATTTGTACCCTTGAATTTAAATAGCAGCTTTTGTATTTTAACGGTTGCAGAGGATTTTAAGGGCCACTTTAATTTTTTACATGCTTTAATCTCTGTTTCACCTAGAACGTAGTAGGGAATCAAAACCGGCTGCCTTCCCCTTTATGGACTGGGGTAGGTAGGGGTTGGAGCAGGGTAGGCAGCTATGGGGTCTTGTGAAACAGGCCAATACTAAGGTCATGCCTCCATAGACCCTCTGCTTCGCTTTCTTTTTATTCTGTCCCTCTTTTTGTGTGCTATTGTTACTTGACTAATAACAGCTGGTGATGCCATGCAGGAAGGAGAATACCTTCATTTTTGAGGTTAAATAAAATACTCTTGCCATAGTTTTCCTTACGGGATTCAGACGCCTCTCTTTTCTTTGCCATAGGGTAATGGGGGCAGAGTCCACTTAGTAATGCTAATAGGGCATGTAGCCCTGATTCTGTAGGGTTTGCCCCTCTCTGACTGTTACCTCTTTTGCCTGGGTACATTCAAGTCAAATTTTTTCAGAGGTCCAACTGGGCTCCAGTGACTTATCGGGGGAGACAAGGTGGTTTCATTGCCATCATGAAAACCCCAGAGCTGAAGATAGTTAAAATATCTCTTGGAAATGAAGAGCTCTGAGAGTTGGGTGTGTGAGGGTCCTCATTAGGAGGTTGCTGGCAAATTGACTTGGTAGCATTTATTTGAGTTTCTCTCTTCTGGCTTGGGTGGCCGGTGGCCTGACTTATCATTTCCTTCTCCAGAGGAGTAAAGCCTGGGGCCAATCGTGAACCTTCATTCTAGTTGAAAAGTCAATTACAAGTACCTCTCCTGCCCTGAGGAAAAGGTTCTTCATTTAGTTTAATTTTCAAAAGTTTTATTCCCCTTTCTACTCCATAGAATTTAGCCAGACTCCAACCGGGCTCCATGATTGATAAGCTGGGCTAATTTCATGCCTTCCTAAGCCTTCGCATGTTGCGGGTATGCTTGAGGTAGAAGATTTTACATTCCCATACCTCCATCTAAAGGCCTGGAAAGTGATCCAGATGGAAGAGACTGCAGTTATTTGTGACTTCTTTCCCTCCTTTTGATCACACTCCACTCCCGCTCCCAATGAAGGATATGGTGAGGTTCTGAAGAAGGGAAGCAGAGAGGAATACAGAATGAAGAGACATGATAGATGACATGCATTTGCTGTCTGAGGCTATTTCATTTTGGGACCAGTAACTATGTTTCCTCTCCTGAGGTGTGAAATACACTTCATTAGCCCATTCCACTCTCTTTTTATGCAGATGAGTGGGTGTATTTTGTTGTTGTTGCTCAGCTGAATTCTGTTCAGTGAGCAGTTACTGAATGTCCATTTATTCTCAACAATTAATGAAAACACATTTTCTTGATCCCATGTTATGTGTTTATCATCTTAAAAGCAAGAGGAAGAAAGGGTGGCGATAACTAGGAACCCCTTTTTAAAGTTTTAATCTGAATATAACCCTGAGCCTCTGGGCTTTTCTGTGTTAGCATATAGCATTGTCATAAGTACCCTGGGAGAGTTAAAGGAGAATTTCATCAGTATGGTCCCTTCAGTAGGAATCCTACCTTAGAATCTTAGACCTGATGTCAGCTCCTGTTTCTGCTGCTTTCTAAGCTCTGTGATTGTAGAAAGGTAACTTAACCTTTTGTGCCTAAGATGTTTCCTTTATAAAGTAATAGGAATAAGAGTAGAACCTGGCAGAGAAGACACTCAATAAGCGTAATGGACACTTCTATGGCTTTAAATGTTGTCATTATTTGAAATTATTATAATAGTTATGGGGTGTCACATAGTCTTGGACGTTATATGTGGAAACATTGTTCCATTTTAGAATTAGAATCCATTTCTGGTTCTCATTCACCAATGTAATGTAACTTTAGATCCTTTGGCTTCTGGTAATACAGAAATTCAGTTGTTTCCCTTAATGCCTGTTTTTAGATTGACAACGTTTGTATGTATTCATGGTATACATGATGTTTTGATATGGGTCTGCATTGCGGAATGGCTGAATCAAGCTAACTGACAGGTGCATTACTTCACGTACATTTATTCATGGTGAGAGTATTTTCCCTTGACTTGTCTTTTCTGGATATGATACTCGTGTTTGCACTAGAATTAGCTGCATCTATGGTGCCAGTGTGTTCTACCATTGTTCATGTGAGATTAATAGAGGTGTTTTGTAAAACCAATGAATTCCTTTTTAGTATTTTTTAAATCCTGGACACTATCTGTGGCTTCGTAGGTGCTGTTGTGGTTTTATTCTCTCTTGCTGTCTTGAAACTTTCCTTATTGTGTTGTTTAAGTCAACTCTGAAACCTGCGTTTTTATTTCCTGTATCATCTGCTAGGCTTCTCTTCCAACTGGGGAGATGATTGAGAGGCATCTTCATTTGACTTGTTAACTTGATCAACACATGCACCAGTGACTTTTATTCTATTCTTAATACTTATTGAAAGAGCCAGTTCTTGTTTTGATCTATGTTTAACATCAGAGCTTTGACAGATGCCAAAAGGACATGAAGTAAAATGTGTCTTGTATAGACAGTCACTAGTTGAATTGGAGCATTTAGATTCAGACCCATCTGAGTCTGAGACGGTACTCTTCTTTCATTTTTCTGTCTTATGGTTGTCTCAGTGCACAAGCTTCCACTGAATTATGGGATTAGAAAATTTGTTAGTACTTTTACTCTCACCAACTTGTACTCTATGGATCTTTTTTGGTTACATCACAGGAAGCAAAGCCATCAATATTTTTCCTTAAAATATCTCCACAGCTGCTTGTTATATGTCTGACACTGCACTAGAAATGGTAGAGATAAAAGCTCAGTGTTTACCCTTCTTTAGGGGTGGGACTTTGGGGGGGCAAACAAGAGAATAATGAAATATTAATCCTCCACTGTACCAAACATCTCAAATATAGACCAACACCATTTTATTTAAGTGACTTGAGCCCCTGAGGATTTTGGTATCCACAGTGGTCTTAAAACCAGTCCCCAGCAGATACTGTGGGTTAACTAGACAAGATCTCATTTAAACCTCTCACCAACTCTAGAGTAATGGAGAGCCAAGTCACAGATAGCTCAGAGGTCAAGTTGCCTAGCCCCAAAGTCCTGCGCTTTTCATTCCTGCTGTCTTCTTGAGGATGAAGGAAACTGAACTTAGGTAGCTGACTTGTAGCCATTCACTTTGCATTCAGTTGTATGGTGAAATTCACTTGTGATGAAAAATGGCTCTAATTTAGCTAACTTCAAGGAGTTGATCTCCATTGCTAGTTTTCTGATATTCCATCATTGCTAGTTTTCTAATACTCCATAATTTTGATACCCTACACCTTCAAAAAAAACACAAACTCTCCTGTGGCATAACTCATGAAAACTGGGTGTCAGCCATTCCAAGTGGT